GCTGGCGCAGTGTTCCCAGCCCTGCTCTGCCTTTGCTAGTTTAAAGCAAGAACAAGCAGCACTTGGCTATACTCTTCCTGTTTCCTTATGAAGAAGCTGCCACCTTAGGAAGGAGCAAAGTTGAGGCTTCCTTCAGCCCTGGCTGCCCAGGTGCAGTGCCCTGCAGACCCATCCTCTATGAAAGCTGCTCTTCTCCCTGCCTGACCTCAGAGCAAGTCAGAGTTTTCTTTTTGACTGCTCTTCTAACAGCTCTTTCTTCCCCCCTTGCAGATCTGAAGAAACTCGCAGAAATACGTCAACAAATTCCTATTTTAAGCCAGAAGCGTTGTGATCTCTATGGCATAGAGATGAAAAAATAAAGCTGAGCGAATAGAGAAAGTTCAGTTGGCACAACAGCTGCTGCTTTCATCGTTGGAAGGATTGACTTCCTAGTTGCTCCACAATGTACTGCTACATGTGCCAGTTAATTAAACAAAAACAAAACAAACAACTGAGCCTTGGTGGTAAAATTCTGAAATCGAGTCAAATACAACTTTTCTATCTCCTCTCATACTTCAGTATTTTACAGCTAGGATAAAGACTGAGGTGAAATCAGTTCAGCACAGTAGTAGCTAACTGCTTTTTATGCATCACAATGCTTTAGTTACCTTTTTGGGGCTTTTTTGAGAACGTAGAAATGGTAACCTTGTTCTCTCTGGAAATCCTCTGAAGTCAGCTTTGGTATTAGATTTTCAAACTATCAGATCATTTAGAAGCATGATTCTTCCCCCTCTGTCCTTCTTAATTGTATGTGCCTTAATAAAGTTCCTTGAATGCCCAACTTCTAACTTGGAAAGCTTAAGATTTAACACACTAAGCAAAACAGGCCAAATTCTGCTCTCTAAGTGCAAGGAGCTGCCCGATGGAACTACAGTGATAGAGGAATCAGTAACAGGTTTAGGTTCGTGGGTCTGGCCTGGAATGTATGTATTAAATTCTCCTTATGGCAATTCCTGTCTATTGGGGAAAGGCTGAGGGGAGTCAGGCAAAAGGGTTCAAAAGCTTGTTGCACTGATCAAGCCTTTCTGCCCCTTGCCTTCTGCAAGACGGGCACTGGGATTGCTCAGTGGTTACAGGTGCTACTGCAGGCCAGGTCCCACCAGCTGCATGGGAAACCCTCCTCATGGCATTGCTCTTGCTGAAGAGACTAACAAACTGATTACCGGCCTAGCATGGTGTAGTTCTGGTGGTTTTCTCCTTCAAGGAAGACACTTTGGTACTTCTAAGGTAAAAAGATAAGAGTTTGCAAATGGCTTTTTTTTCCTCCTTGGGATAAAAAAAACAGAAGCAATTCTAACTCTCCAGCCTTTACCACTAGGCTTTTCATTTTCCAGCAGCAAAAAGGACAAAGCAATAAGGCTAAAGGAGATTTCAAAATACCAACAGGGAAGGAAGGAGGGGCTCTATCTTGGTCTAGCTAACCACCAGTTTACCCCCAAACCACCTCACCTGTTTATTCACGTTTGGCCATCCTCCTCTTCCCCCAGCTGTTGACTTTTGTTTTTTGAATGTTCTTTTGGCTTCCCTGGAATGAGCTAGGAAAAATTAATGGTTAAGTTAACCCAAACCCTGAGGCATCATTCCCCTTAAAAGGCAGGTCACACCATTCCACTCAGTGGCATGATCTATTCCAGCAGGTATTTTTTGATCTGTACTTCCCACTGCATTTTGGTGTACATACTGTACTGGAACTCTTAAGAAACAAGCCACAGAGCATAAGGTGAAATGAAGATTTATTTGTTGAAAAATAAATATAAAAAAATTAACAGTTTACCATTTGAGTCAGGTCTCCTGCATTAGATTCGCGCCTCCCACATATCCAATAACCGGCATCTATGGTGGCCATCACAGGATCCAACTGCTCAGTCACAGTGACCATTATACATCCATTTTTCTAAGCTACTCCAGCTGTCTTTCCCTCCCCTCTCTGTACTAGTTCAACATGCAGCAGAGCAGGATTCTCATGGGCTGACCACTTTGAATTTTTAAAATTCAAAGTCCAGTATGCAACAAACAACAGAATCCATGGCCTGGACCCTCCTCCCCTGGAATCCCAAAGGGAGAGAAGGGCTGAAATCTGTAGGGAGCTACTTTGGTAGACACAGCTGAAGAGGTGACAGGAGCTCAGTCCTCTTCAGTCTGTCAGGACAACTTCTAAGCACCTTGTTTTAGGGATCTCCAGTGCAGTCCACTCAGAAGTAATACAAGTGGGACCATGAATTTTCAGGGATTTCAACAACAACAAAAAAGTACACAATCAGTTCTTGGCTAGGTAACACTTAGAGCAGTCAATACTTCAATCTCTGTGTTGGTAGAAAACAGGCACTTTAGGTATCCATATTGCAAATGCACACTGGTTACCAGCATAAGTATAGAAAACCAGCCAGCCAGTAACAACCCTGAAATAGCTTCAGAGTTTCAGCTTACAAAAACTTAAACTCCTTTTCAAGAAATGGCAGAAAACACAGTAATGCCGGTTGTATGGGGCAGTGTCATTGCCACTGCAGCTGGGAAGCCTGGTTAAGGATGCATCCAAGCTGCTCTTGATAGTTCCAGAATAAGTTACAGTACAGCTCCTTAGTCGACGTTAGTTCCCTTTTCACTGTCAGTCTGCAATTAGATCCCAGTAATTCAAATCACAACTTCTAATCTCCATTTTGGCAAGCTTGTCTCTGAACATGATTGGAATTAAGATATAAGACAACTATGTGTAGAAGCAACTTCCCTCAGGCTCTAGGATACACCAGGTTTATCCAAGTCTTCAGTACTAGCTTCCGATGTTATTTCAACAGGTTTGGGTTTTTTTTTAAATAGCAACAGTACTTGTTTCACTTCAGCTCTCCATCCCTACTGAAGAAAGCTTTTCTCAAACTTCACAAGCAAAGCTTCAACTGTATCAGCCATTTAAAAAAAAGAAAAGAAAAATCCCTTTCACTAAAGGGATCCACCCGCATACACACAGTGACAGGGTGGCCCAGCTTTCCTGGCTGGATTTCCTTTCCCCTGTAATCTTCAGCTCTCAAGATCATACCTCCTTGGGTGACGGAAGCAGTTGGAGGTAAGACTCGTTAATTCCATGCCCCCTCCTCATTTTTTCTTAAAGGCTGAAGTGAGAAGATGACAGGGAGTCAGTCACTAGTATTTCTGCCTAGGGTCAGAGCAAGCTCAAATAAGCACAGAGAGCACCGCTGCAGAGAACACTTTCATCAAAACCTGTTCTTATACATGTCAGAGAGAGATACTTGAAGGTAATATTTATTTTTTCAGTTTACAGGTGATACGTCATTTACAAAAAAAAAAATTACAGACAATGCATCCTCTCAGTGCAGTTTCAAACTAGTTCAAGAACAGGCAAAAGTCTGTGATGATTTGGAATGCTAGTATTCAACAGCACATGCTTTTTTCCCTTAATTGACTGGGTGGGGTAAGGAATGGGGTACAGGTAGGGTGAAGAGGAGAAAATGCCAATGTAAATAAGGCCATGCGAATAAAAACTCCTCAGGAGAGCAGGGCACGTCAGTTGGTCTGACAATGTTTGTTCTCAGGTAATGGATGCAGGGATTGGAAGTTCCAGAAGACGATTGACACTTGCTATGCGCAGTGCCCTTCGAAGCTGCCAGTACCCTCTACTGCCTTCAATTCTACACCAATGCTATGATTTCAGCTCACCTACTGAGCCTAGCTAAAACAGAATGATTACATCTTTGTCTCCTCTCCACCTTTTGAACTCTCAACTGCAGTTGCTGGGAGAAAGGAAGGTCAAATTGACAATACAAGCTGCTGCTACATGGTGGCACAACTAGAGAACAAGACAGTTTGACCACAGCGTGGTTGGTTTCATTAAAAGATTAAATACATCAGACAGTTCAGCACGAGCAAATCTATGATTTCAGGATGGAAAGCAGCCCAAATTAGCGTGTCATAAATTAAGCTACATCAGTTAAGTATTTGCATGAGGTTTATCCAGCCAGGGAGAGGCAAGATCGACTGACTGACTTCCATACCAGGAAGATCAACCCAAAGCAAGAGAGCCCTCTGGAAGTTCCTGGCTAGAGGAAGACGGTTTATACCCAGTACATATTTAACGATTTGCCAATCTGCCATTTGCAGAACAGCTGCTTCCTTTCTACAGTATTTGTAATCTTGGACAAGACGGGGTCTAAAGAACAAGGAAACCAGTACAGACTCTTAAATCCAGTACTTGAAATCTTCGCCTATGCTTTGTTCCTTACCTCACTTAATCCTGCAAAGGGGCTGTTACAAGGAGCGGATCAGAACACAGCAGTCCCTAGGGACTGAAGAGAATTTAGACAGTCTATTAGCTGCTACATTTAAGCAAAAGCGTCAGAGATTACAAAGATTATATGCAAGCACGACCTTACCTTGGCAGCTCTTCTCCCAGCAGTGCTTTCTGTTCTGGAAAGGTCCCTCTGAACAACCCTCCAGAACAATGTCCTGTGACACTCAAGTAAGGACTGCTGCTGCACAGGAACACAGCCTTCCTTCCAGTAAAGCCTACACTGAAACAGCGTTACCCGACCTCTTTCCCCAGCCAAGCTCTTTGCTAGCTCGCCCATATAGTACGCTAGGGCTCTCTGGGGTGAGGATAAGGACTATCAAATTAATTCCCTAATAGCTGCCACAGGGCTATTTCTAAGTTAGTTATGCAGAGGGTGGGAAGGGCTTTAAGGGAAGATTGTGCATGCTTGCATATATTTACAGGGATTCTCTCCATGTCTTCTGACTTAAAAAACACCTCTATTATGAAACAGTTTGAAAATTAATCTTTTTCCTTTTTGCAAAATTAAAATCAACCCTCAAGGATTAATCGCGTATAAAAAAGAAACCTATTTTACAGCACTGACTAGTATTACCTTTAAAATCAACAGGAAAAACCCCACATGCTGTAATATTGTTTGATAAAGCAAAAATCGCCCACAACATAATCACCCAAAATGAACCAGTGTGAAGTTTTTATTTGCATGGCCAAAATATCTTCTTTTTTGTTCCCCTGCAACTTTATTTCCCTTAACACTAAGGTTTCTGTTGCAGAAGGAACAAGATGCAACACTGCATACTTCCTTGAACAACCACTCCCACAACACCTAAACATTTAACAGATGTAGCAAATGACAACACCACGAACGGGAAAAAACTAAGTTCCACCATTCAACATGGTCTGCAACAGCGTCTTTAGGGCTGGCTGAAGTGGGCAACTTCACTTTAGAAGGTCATTTCCTCCTCGTTTCTTTACAGTGTTGGTGGTTTCAATCCGTACTTCTTTGCGACTTCTGTCTGGGCGTAGGCAGCATCACAGAGTGAGTAGAGGTGGGCCATCTCCATTTCAGATTTGGCCAGGTTGATAGCTTTGTTGAACATTTCGATGGCTTTATCCAGATTACCTCTGAAATAAACCAAAAATGTAGTCCAATGAGGACTGGCAAAGCAATCTTTTCATCTCTACAGCACATTTCTTCCTCCAGGCCTTACACTCTCCACTACTGAGTTTAAAAGGACGTTGGGAGGAACCACCATGAGAACTTGCGATGATGATGAGCAAACTGAGAGAAGCTGTTACCAAGCCTAAGCACCTAGGACAGCTGTTCGACAGTCTTCCTTTTGAGAGCCACCACGCTGATAGTGGGGATAAAATGTTCTCCACAGGACACCAAGTTTACTACAACGATAATGCTGGGACAACTAAATGAACTCTCATATCCCTTGAAGAGTTTGTATACTTAAGAGGAAAACTAGCACAGACAAGAGCTCACATTATTTAAATAGAAAACACTTGCAAAATTTCTCATGGCAACAGTTTAATTCTGTCTTTTGATGGCTAGACATGTAAAAAAAAACCCAAAACCCTCAACTATACTCCTATACTTTCAGCTACACCCCAAACTTCTGCACAATTATAACACAATGCACTGTTACGCAATAGTGCATTAGTCTCTCTGCTTTACCCACAAGCTGCGGTCCTGTTGGAATTAAACACAAATCATCAGGCTTGAGAGCATAGCTCAGGATCCTCAGTAGAAACGGTCCACTAAGGTACATTTAAGCACTACATTAGATACACAGGAAGCCTAGTAATGATTAAGGAAGTAGCTTTAAATGCAGAAGGGATGTATTTAAACACACACAAACTCATCTGCATGTTGCCTAATAAGTATGAACTTGGTGAACACGGAAGTTTGTCAGATCATAAAGCAGAATTATGCCACAGAGAAAGGCAGGCTTTACCTAGGAGTTACAGAACAGAAATCAGAACTTTGGGTAAGGGCTAGCCTTGTGCAGCTCTGGGGAGAAGATCTTAAGGAAGACTTAGGATCCATAAGGAAATCTAAAGGTCTACTGTAATTCTGAAAGTAGCTAAGAACTCTTAATGCTGCAATTCAACATTACCTTTGCACTTCAATCGTTCCCATGGTTTCATATGCAAAATCACATTTGTTATCAATTTCAATGGCCTTGCTTATGAGTTCTAACCCTTTGTCTAAATCTTGCTTCCACTGGAGCTGAAGTAAACTAGAAGAGAAAGAAAATTTAGAACAAACTTCACAAACTCCTCTCCCAAAACCCTGATCACATAAGCAAAAAAATAAAAAATCCCAAATGTATTTAATTTCTCACGCAGGATAGACAGTAACTTCATAGCTTTTAAAAAAACCCAAACATATGTGAAAATCACTTTCAATAAGCATTGTTACCAGTTTAATAGCTCTAAAGAAAGGTAAATTCCTCCCAAGAAGACTTGTTACAAGTTTTTTAGGAAAAACTTCAGCACAAAGCTGAAATTAAGATAGGGCTAAAGTGAAAGTCAGAGATACTTCAAGCAGATACTCAGGAATGAACACTAATGAAACTTTCCTGAAACTTATTTACAATTTAGTCAAGAGAAACTGCAGAAATACATTTAACAGCACCAAGATGTTTTCACAAAGCTACTTCTCCTGGCTAAACTTCTAAACACAAACATTCAACTCGGGTTGATTCATCTAAATATGCCAATTGCCCTTGACCAAAAGGACCGCAAACTCAACACATACCCTTTATGAACATAGGTAGTCGCATTGTCTGGCTCAAGGTCAATGCATTTATCATACATTTCATCAGCCTTGCCAAACTGCTGTTGATCAGTTAGTGCCTGCATCAAAAGAGAAACCTGTATGTCACTATGCGACCAAGGCTAATTGCGCTAGGCTAATTCTAATTAAAACCATATTGACGATGTGAGATTGGGTATAGCGCTCTCATCACAGAGCAGATCAGTTACCAGGGTTAAGTTTCTAAATCCGAGGCTTTTTAGAAGAAAGCTGCTAGACTTCAAGTGCACAAATTACTGACCACAGTACCATCTGTAACGGGAGATCCCCAAGCAACATGCTAAGGGCACTGCAAGTAAAAACCATTCTAAAAGTCTGTACCTGCAAGTCTCAACTCCTTCCTTTTCAAATATACTTCTTTCAAAAGGAGATGCATCCATATTGCCTACCTACTTAAAATCAGAACATCTCATGCTTTGTCCTAGAACAGCAGCACATTTTCTTAGAGAAGAAATGACAGTCTCTCTTACAAGTGTACTCTGAACACCTGAACTAAGCTCTGCTTGACCAGTACATGTCATTTGTAGCAGAACAAAGCTGTTACTCCAGTTCCATGCATTCAGCTCCCAAATTACCTACAGAATCTGACGTCCATCAAGTGAGATGTCCCACATGCAGGAATTCAGGGGGAAGTGTATGCCAGACCTCTGGCTCCTCATAACCACCCCTGACACTCATCACTTATATTCTGCTCCACCAATTCCCTGTGTAACTTCCTCTACCCCAGAACACCCATACCCATGAATTCAGGTAGCTTATTAAAGATAGCATGTCTTATCTCAGAACTTATTCTCAATTCTATATATTATTTGAAGAAATGTATGCTATCCAAGATAAAAGGTGCAACAGAATGCAGCATTTTCTTTAAAAGACAGAAAACTGTACCTGAGCATAGAGTGCGTAGCCTTCAGCACACTTTGGAAATTTTTTTATGACATCTTCAAAGCCTTTCATGGCTACTTGCACAGGCAAAGGATTATTCCCTGTATAAGCTTGGCGATACTATTCAAGAAAAAGAGGAGGGGGAAAAAAAAAAAAAAAGGGAAAAAAATGAACCACCACCACAAAAAGAACAAGCTCATCAGACCTCTACCTGCTTCCCCAAGAGATGCACACGTCATAACAATTACGAGTTCCCAAGGTGACGTGCCTGTACATCCTACCAAATCTGGTTTTAGGCACCTACAATGTGTGGGAGTCTCCTGTAGAGCAGACTTGGAGAAGAGAAAGAGTGAAAGAAGAAAGCCGTAAGGCCTGATAGTTGCCAATACCCTCCCTCTGTTTCAATAACCTAGATTTCCTCCTTGTTCACACCACGCAAACCTGTCCTTAGAAGACTCCTGCATGCAGAGGCATTGTAGTAGCTTGGAATAGTTTGTTTCCAATTTCTTGAGGATGATGGTCTTTCACAACATTAAAGCTTTATTCAAATCAATTTTATGTAATACAATAAGAGTGAATATTTGTGTTCCACTACCACAAAACAGAAAAGATCACCTACTTTTGAATAACAAACATTGCAAAATTAAAGTAGCAAACCCTTACTCCAACTGAAGAAACTGTTGCATTATTTCTGTACCTTGTTATTAAAAGACGTTGAAATGCTTGTTGTCCTACTTTTCCATTAAATCGGAATAAACCAGAGAAACACAGTCTGTTTTCCAGAACGCTTTAAAAAGAAAAAGCACCCAGATAAACACCATCATGCTACCTACCAGAGCGAAACATTTCTGTGCTTGAGCCAAGGCAGAATCGGGTCGCAATCGGATACATTCATCAAAGTCTTCCACAGCCTCTTCGATTTGGTCAAGCAGGATTTTCAACTAGCCAGAATGAAAGAAAATCCTATTTCTGTATTTAATCTGTGCTTCAGACACTTAAGTGATAATTCAGTTAGCATCAGTTACTCATATTGTCTCCAGTTCAGTTTTAGAACTGCCTAGAAACCTACAAACCCCCTGACTAAAAATCACTGCCATAAAATTACAGAGCCACCTGGGAAACTTTGGCTTCATGCACAGAAAGGCACTCTCCATGTGTAGGGATTGGGAACGCTTGCATTTTAGACTGCTGCCATTACTGGTTTAGCATTATGTCCAGTCTCCAAAACCATGACATATTTTCTCAAGTCGCTTTGCCTTGCTGTAGTTAATGCCTGTGGACTAGCTGGATGTTGAAACACTTTGGCTTTCCCAGCTTGCATGTTTCCCAGCTTTTTTGGTTTGTTTTTCGTTTGGTTGGTTGGGTTTTGGGGTTTTTTTTGACATTCTCATTCCTCCACAAGGGTGGAGCTCACATCATCATTCTCTTACTTTACTGTGAAGCTACTGTAAAAGACTAATTTTCAATCTGCAGAAACCTTTCATTCCCTTCAATCAACACGTAATAACCGTTCTTACTTCTGAGCACTAAAGAGATCTACTGATTTCATGGAGAGAGGCACTTGATCCTTGGAAGTCTTCTTTATGAATACAACTCGGCATATCTGTATGTGGTAGCGTTTCCTTTTTCTTCTAGGATCTTTTATGTTACAGTTCAGTGGAAGCAGGCCTCTCTAGGCCTAGAAATTAGTCAAGGACACAGCAGCGTCACAAGCCAGAGAGGGACAAGCTGAACAGATCCAAGTCTAGGCCGCAGTGCTGCAGGTGCCGAGTTATCAGGAACACACGTTACATCCACTGTAACAACGTTTCCTTCTATGCAGACGCCACTCTGCCATATCAGGGCCCCTCGCAGAGCAGCTTGTATCTGCTGTAAGCGTATATAAGCCCTAGTAGCTTTAAGTCAGAGTTCATACCGATAGAGGGCTGAACCTCTGTTGCTTTGCGTTCTTTCCCATAGCTACAGAAATAAACTGCTTCTGCCTGACCTGAACCTGCAAATTAGACTGCCTATTTATTCGGCAACAGTTCCAAATTAGGACTTCATGTTTTTCTGCCACAAACAATATAAAGTATCTCCGATGACGTACTGATCTTTATTTTTCTTTTAGTATATATTAAAATATTCAAGTATTGTGACAAAATCTCTAATGTTTCTTACTTGTCCTCGATGGTGGTAAACATCTGCATTCTGAGGATCAATATCAGCAGCCATGTTAAAGTCTTGAGTGGACAGCACAGGTTGCTGTTGCTGCATATACATACTTCCTCGTTTGATCAGAGCATTAGCTCGGAGCTGTAAAAGAAATCCAAAGAAGCATTAGCCACTCCAACATTCCTCCAGATTTAAGGCTTTGATACAATTAACAGTAAGTTTTTCATTTGATGAGTTTCTCCCACTGACAGACTTCATTCATTCTAAGCAGGAATAAATTTCATATTAACTCTAAATGAATCAACTCCCTTGCTTAAATTCAAATATGTCAGCCTATGCTCCTATCTCAGTGGATTTTCACACCCCCCCCCCCCAATCCTTCATAAGTTCCCTATGCTTACACACATACATCAACATTTTTGAGGCAGTTCAATATGCAAGTACAATTAACGTTTTTCTTTTACCTATGAATGGATTTTTCAGACTGAATAAGGCTTCAATTCATTCAACTTCTTCTGTTCTTTAGTTTATACTACTTAGCACATCTGTCTCAAAAATCAACAAACCCTTGAAAAAACATTTTGTCAGGAATAGAAGACAAAACAGTAAATAAACCAGAACACTCCCATCAAAGTATCTGAAAACTTAAAAGAACAACTTCTTGAACTATATTGCAAGTTTACCATGTAAATACTAAGTTTTCTCAATGCAAACCACAATCCAGCTGTGACAGATTCTTACCTTCACATTTGCATCTTCCATGCTGATGACCTGATCTAGGTCTGGTTTGGCAGCATTTGCATTTCCAATAAGTAAGTAGAAAGTAGCTCGCAGAAGCAAAGCTTCTGCCATGTATTTTCCCTTTGCTTCAATTTCTTTTGTGCTTTCACTGATAATTTTGTCATAGTTCTCCTCTTCCATATACTGTTTTGCTCTCAAATAGCCAGAGCTGTAAATGATGCAAGAACAGTTGTATATATACATGTATTCACTGGACACTACAATTTCAATTCAGATTTTTCATTAAATCATAACAAATACTAATTTTTGCTATACTGTGTTACAACACCAGCATAGTAGGTAAAGTTACAAATGTTCCTGGACAGAGCCATCACAGACTGAAAACAACTTAGACAAAGAATGGCCAAATTATATTGGAAATAAAGAAGAAAAATGTTTTAAAGCTCTCCTGTACGTGCAATTTGGTTCGACAAAGACAAAACAACCTTTCAGCCTCAGCTGCTGTAAATTCATAGTTTTCATTAACAAAGAGTTCCTCTTGTCTCCTCCCTTCCAATCCAAAGACTAACTCGCTCTCTTCCTTGGAAACTCTTCTTCAGTATAAAACTTTCCTTTCTCCAGCAGCATCATTCAGCACTCTCCAGTCCTCCCATCTCCTACAATTTCCTATGATACCGTAGTAAACATTCAGCATATCTTCCCAATCTCATTGTCCTTCCTCTGTTTAGTGGATTGAAGCCACCTACAGCTGGGAACTAGCCAGTCACCTTTCATGAAAGTTTCATTTTTAATACAGATCTCATTCACAGGCTCTTTATTACCGCAGGATTTCCCATGCCCAGTACTAGAAAAACAACAGCAAGTTACACTGCACAGAATGTCAAAACTGCTGAACACTTAATTCCAATACCAAACAATTCCCAACTGTACTGTACACTCACTTTTCTTTTACTTCAGAAGCCTCTCCCTCCTTATCCTTATCTTCATCTGATTTCTCACCCTTAAGCAAAGGTTGGGAGATGATATCATCTGTGAAAGAACTGAAGTAGGATTTAATGAACTGTGGTGAGGGCATCAGAGGCTCACGATTCTGAAACAGAGAAATGTAACTTCAAGTCATCAGATGGCAAGATCAGATGGTAAATACGGAAATGGACAAAGAAACGTGACTATCAAAAATTAATTCATGAAAGAACCAATGCATGACTTTCCACTATCTCATTTGATAGTCTGATATTTTTGATTTGACGGTTTGATATTTAGGGATTATTTAAGCTTCAGATCAACCCAATGCCCCTCACCAGTAGAAATAAAGTGAAGATATTCAAGACAGGCAGGAGATAGTATCTTTCTGCATGTGTGGCTGGAAATGAGGGCTCTTGGGATATCTTAAGACATTGGGTAGATGTACTAAAGCAGTACGTGTGCACATAAATCAGGTGAAAAATGCAAGCTGGCAGTTTAAGCATAAGCCTAAATTCACATAGATTCTGAATGGCAATCTGCCCTTTTCTCCAACTTGTCCAAGAGAAGCTGCTCTCTATCATTACAATGAAGACTAAACTAATGAGGCAACACCCTAATTCTATGTGGAGCTTGGCCCAGATACCACACATTTTACTTGAAGTCCCAGAAGTAACACCTCTCAGGTACAAAATCCTTTCTACAGATGAAAAATATTTCTTGCTCAAAATGAACACTGTACACAAGAATTACAATTCCCTCTCTCCTGCAAGAAAAGCCTGAATTTCTCTATTAAGTTCTAGCATAATACTGCCTATTTGAAGCACGCCTACTTTATGATGCTACCACCGCCACACTAATAGCGCAATTTGGTTTTTGCTACCTCGACACCACACATTTATGTGAGTTTCTATAGGAAAGAAATTCAGCATCTCAAAACCAACACAGATTTCAGGTACTTCAACCACCGTCACAAATAACAAGCAAGAATGTTTTGATAACAAGCGAGAATGTTTTAATACCTGTCCCAACCTACAGCCACTTCAAATGACTGCTCCTGGCTACCCCTCTACCTCCATAGTTCTCTTTTCTGCAGTTTCCAAACATTAATGCAAGGACATCCGAGTGCCAACACAGAAAAGTACAAGCACCTATTTACAGAAAGGGAACAGAAACAGCCTGCAACTGAATGTCACAAGTGATCTGCAGTAGTTAGGAGACAAAGGCATATTTTTCAAGACAGAATCAGGCAGTCTGACCGCTAATGAAAAGATGTGACGTCGCACTGCATCATTGTTTCTTAAGCAATGCTGAACATTTGGCTACTGCTGTTCCAACAGAGCCCGTTTCCATTATGTTACAAGTCCAGAAAAGCCCCACGTAGGGCAGCACACCAATTTAGGGTGTCTCCTGAATGTCGTAATCAATTTGATTATTAAAGGGAAATAAATGTTAGAAATAGACCTCTCTTCCCTACTGAGGTTTCAAAAACTTTGGACAGGTCCCAAAGGAAAACATCATGAGTACAATAGCAGCTTTGTACAAAACTGTTCATGTCAATTCTTACACTTCAGCAGATGAAGACAGTGACTGGCTTACAACAATTGACAGAATGCCAACAATCCACATTTCAACAACCAGTGAGGTAAAAATCAGAATTTGTCAGCAAGTCCTACCTTGTATTTCTCTTTGGCCTTTTCTTTTCCAAGGAGTTTAAGAACTTTATCAGCTAATAACATACTTTGCTGGTTTTGGAAGGCTTCTAAAATGCAGACTGCAGTGACATCTAGGAAGCAACATACAGAAGTGAGATTAAAGACAAATTCTGATGGTCACTGGAGTACACTAAAACGTGCCATTGTTACGGTGAGTCACTGCCAAACTAATACATGTCCTGTTCGAGGGTAAAAGCCTCCCTTTCCAGTTTGCTGTATTTACCGTGTTTTACAAAATACAAATTTGTATCCAAAATGATCTCCTTGTGATAAAAGGGCTCCATGACAGTGAATGAAAGAAACTACATTTATTTTTGTCTTTATGCTTTTATCTAGGGACAAACACACTTAAATGAACAGCAAAAACGTACACCTCCAGCAGGCTTTCACCATTTCGAAACTTTGAGGACAGAAATTATGTGTGCATTAAAAGCGCTAACACAGCTTCTCTTCTGGGACCGGTCCTAATTTTCTACTTTTAAAATTCACATTTAGTCCCATCACATCTTGCTTCTTCCTCAGTTTAAGAAATCTTCCCATATTACATCTCAAATTTTTCTGCTCACCTCTGTGACTTTGGAATAGAGCAAGTTTAAGAGAAATAACCTTGCTGGCCTATTTAAAGTGTTAGCCCATATCACATCACTTTCATTCACACAGAGAAATTTCTGCAAATGTTAACTCATTGCTGCCTGAATCATGCTTTGCAGCGTGAACTGTGCTTTTACAGTACATTAACATTATTCTTCTGGATCCTCTAGTTAATGCAATACTATAACTGATTTTTCCTATTTAATTTCCACTTGAACATCAGTGAAGATGAACAGAGTTTGGAATTCAAATTCAAACATTGTATTGTTTGAATACACTTGAAAAGCAAGTGTCTTATCCTGGAGTTTTACTATAGTTTCTATAACCCTACACTGCTATAGGTACTATTATGCCATCATTTATACAGAAACTCCCCGCAAATCTGGCATGGTCAAGAAGCACATTGGAGTCCCCAGGAAAACACACTACACCTAGAAAGAGCGTGAAAGATAGCGTGCAGTAACACCATGCTATATGGCCTTAGGAGACACAGTTTGCCCTGTAAACTAGTGCCCAGACCTGGGTGAAGCAGCAACGTCTTCCCCAATTACACAGCTAGAGATCACTGGAGGGGGTTTTGCTGGTGGTGGTGGGTTTTTTAGGGGGTTGTTTGGTTTTGCTTTCCTCCACTACATGAACATACTCTACTTGCTGGGAATTTACTGGCCATATGTGGTTGGCAGGTAAAAGTATTATATTAGAAGACACTTGTGTAGTTCATAAAAAGCAAGTAATTTTCAGATCTGAAAAAACTGCAAGCTAAAAATCAAACACAAATCAAGGCTGAAAATAATTGCTACAAACATTACTGCTACTAAGATTAAAACAGGGGCTACATTTAAAAGCTATTCTACTATGACAGGGACACTTGATCTTTCTTGGGGCTTTTATCATCTGTCAATTTATCACAACTACTCAAGGTTTAGATTTTATTACAGCACTCTGGAAGTGCAGCTGTTAGTCCATTAGTGACTGCAAAGAGCTACACTAAATGACCCAAGTAGTTCTTTTCTAGTCGCTATGGTCTTACAGGGCAGAGAGGCATTCTGCCAGCAGATAAATAGAGAGATACATAGATAGGATTTCCACATCTTATTTACCTTCTAATTTAGTAGACCTTATTCTTAGCTGTTACACATAATGAAACTAATTTAACAGTTAGATTTGCCCGTCAGAGCACTGCCTTATTTTCCGTCCTCCTTTGATAATGAGCACAGATGAAAGTTTCATTGGCCTTTTAACCTTACATCAG